CACAACAAAGGCCAGGACATCCTCTTACTAATAGCTTGGCGTCCTAGGCCAGCACCTAGAGTATCCAGGACAGGGGGCTTCCTTTTTCTCTCCTCTGCTCTTGTTTTGGTGACTAGCACAGGACCTGATATACAATAGAAGCCCACCAGCAGGGGCCAGGCAAGATGGGACCGAATGCACTCACCCAGAAAGTGCTAACTGAGCCGATTACTGTTACTGAAACTTCCCAGGAGGAATGGGAACAGGCCTGGCTCCTGGGGACCAGGTGCAGAATTGCAGGAGCCACTGATAAGTGAGCTAAGCTGCCAGTTTACACAGGTTTGAGAGGGGGCACTGGACGGACCTGATGGCTATGGACTCTAGAGTTGGCCCAAAAGGCAGTAGGCAGGGAGAAAGGCGGGTGCCCAGGACAGCACAGGAAGAGGTTCGCTGAGTAAGTGAATGACTGTGTGGAAAAATGAATTACCTTGCCCGACACACCCTCTGCTAATTTTGGAGTGTGAATGGAAGTGAGAGTGAATTCGATTCATGAATCACAAGTGGAGGTCTGAGGGTGTGCTGGGACAGTGCACAGAGCCTCCATCTTTCCTCTCCACCAGTCCCCATGACCAACGCGAGGCAGCCCCATTGCTCCTGTGGCCTCCAGGCCACATGGCTGATGAGGGAGTGAAGGGGTCAGTATTTGTACTGGGACCTCAGGGTTGCAAAAGCTCTGTGGTACCCAGTGGAAGGTGCCCACCAGCCTGGGAGTTAGAAAATTTGAACCTGAATGTGAGTTTGCAGGAATGTGTTAGGTTAAGGAAACCTGAGACCTGAGTACACGGGCGCTGTCCTGTCACACATGCTCAAGGCAGGAGCCATGGAGCACGCCTATTCACGTATGTGTGCTTCTAAGAACACAAGTCCTTCCCTGGCACCCCGGCTTTGACATGAAAACAATCTCTGCTAGCACCTCGCCCAACTGAAGGCCAAGGTCAGGTCCCAGCTGAGGGCAGAGGCCCCTCCAGGCCCTTCTCTTCATCCCCACACCCACATATCCAGTCCTCAATGTCTTCTCGGTCTCCTCTCTCCTCCCTGTTCCCTCCTCCCTCCTCCTTCCCTGCTCCACCCACAGGCCAGAGGGTTTGGCTTTAAAAAGATGCAAATCTAATTGCCAGCCATTTCTGCCTTGTTTTGTTTGTGTGAATGGTTTAGTCTCTTTATTTGGATGAGAGAGACTATATTCATATTAAGGCAGAAAAGTGCTCTCTCACAGAATCAGCTTTATCAACATATAATTTACATAAAACAAGATGCACTTATGGTAAATGTATAGATAGCTAATTTTTTTCACTTTTGTTTTTGTTCTTGTTTGAGACATGGTCTTACAATATAGCCCAGCCTGATCTCCCTGGGGATCTGGCCTTCATTCTTCCAGCTTGCATAGCAAACCCGTTACCATCTGAGCTAGCCCCCACCACACCCTACCACCACTTTTGAGACAGACTCTCACTCTAGCCTAGGCTGGTCTAGAACTCACTCTGTAACCCAGACTGGACTTACAGTCACGTATATCCTTCTGCCTCATCCCCCCTGGTGTTAGGATTCCACATGTGAGCCTGGTTTTCCATCCCACTAACAGGTATTGACCGCTGGGCCTTAGGCATGCTAGGCAAGTGTTCTAGAGTGTGTGCCATCTCTAGCCTTCTTTTTAATTTTGAGACAGGGTCTCACCAAGTTACTGTATCAGCTACCCTTTTCCTTTTCATTGATGCGATCAAAGACCTGACAAGAAGCAAGTGAAGGGAAGAAAGGTATGCTGACTCACCGTGTGAGGGTGCACCATCTGTCGTGGCAGGGAAGGGTGGCTCTGGAACAGCTGGGGTGTGTACCAGATGTTCAAGTCTCAGAAGATCAGAGAGCAGAAAAAAGAGAGAATGCCAACACTCACCTGGCTTCCTCCCTTCTTCCCCTTTATTCAGCCTGAGCTGCTGTCCTCCCACCCCCAACACCCACATCTCTAAGAACATCTTCTTCACGGACTTGCCCAGAAGTGTGTCTCCTAGGTGATGCTAAGTCTTGTCAAGTTGACGATAAAGATAAACATCACACTTGTTCAGGTTGGCCTTGAGACTTCTCTACAGCCCAGAAGGGGCTCAAACTACTGATCTCCCATCCCAGTCTCTCCAGTAGCTGGGATTACAGGCCAGGCCACTTTCTTGCTTATAACACACACTCAGTGTTAATTGAATGCTGGCCTATGTGGTTTCGTGTGTAATGTTCCCCCCCTCCTACTTGACCACAAGCTGTGTGCAGAAGTCATGCGCCTGTCTCCTGAGTACCTGGCAAACACAGTTCCTGATGCAGGAGCTACTGGATGAGAGTTTCAGGAGACTACAAGAAGGTAGCTGAGACTCAGGCCTCCAGGTCTAGGATGCTGAGGAGCAGGGAAGCCCAAGGCTTAAGCAGAGACCAGGCAGCCAGGTCCAATAGTGAGCCCACCCAGATCCAGTTGACACAGAAAAGGAAGGGCCAGGGAAGGCAGGAAACAGAATGAGTCATTTTCAGAACCACATAGCAGAGGAGGAGGACAATGGCACTCAGCAACTTCTTGACCTTTCCTTGTGCGGGGTGGCGGGTGGGGGTGTGGTAATGAATGCTCCAGCCTGCCATGAGCCGGGATGGTGATGAGTTCCCAGAGCTGAGGGCACCTTCTCAGGCCCGGAGCAATCACCAGGGAGCTTTCTACTCAGAGGTATTCAGAGCTCCCCCACAGCCTCCACCAACCGTCTTGTCCCCAAGCTCCCCCACAACAACTGCCTCTACTCCACCTCAGAGACTGTGCGAGTGATCTGATCCAAGAGAGCATGGCGCCCATCCTGAAGGACTGTGAAAAGCAAGACAACCTTACTTCTCAAAAGACAAAGGACAGAATGACCCAGGTCAAGGGACATGTTCCACAGCACAGGAACAAGTCCAGAGGCAGAACACTAAGACCTGAGCTAAGTTCAACTGGAGGAAATTTTCAGAAATGCCCTTTCAGGCATGATGTTGGGCACTGGGGATGTATCTTGGGAGTCAGAACACTTGCCTAGCATCCACAGAATACTGGGTTCTGTCCTCAGTGACCCATAAACTGAGTATGGTAATCCCAGTGCTCAGGAGGTAGAAGCAGGGGGATCAGAAGTTCAAGGTCATCCTTAGCGGCATAGTGAATTTGAGGCCTGCCAGGACTATACGCATGATATCTTGTCTCAAAGTGGAGGTAAAAACTGAAACCAAGCCTACAGAGCCAAGGGTCGCCTTGCCCAGACTGGAAGCAGTAATGAATTCACATAGAGGTAGGGAATGCTCAGCTCTCCAGAAGAGTCTGAAGAAAAATGCTCTGGACAGCTCCCCAAGAGCAAGTGTCTGTCAACCAGGCAAGAAACCAAGGTGTGAGGGGTCAGCAGGAAAGGCCCAAGACCTTGCAAACCGTAGAGTTAGTCACTACAGCCTTTCCTGGGGCCAGCTGCAGCCCATCTGCCTTTAGAGCCACATTTCCCAATTCTTCTCCTGAAAGCTCATGACTGTTTTGCCCCTTGACCCTCACAGAGATGTGACTTGTTCCCAGCAGAGTCCCAGTCGGGTACCACCTGGAGCTCTCACTCCCATCCCTCCGAAGACAAGGACTGCTCAGGAAGTCCTCAACTCCAGAAGCTCCAGGACTCTGCCCCTCTGAGCTACCCCAGCCTTGGGTTTCAGAGGAACTTGGGGTCTGAGCCTGTCATCTTCTCTCTGAACCCTCAGGGATGAGTCACCATAGCCCAAACCCAGACTCAGAGGATGAAGATATAAGGGAGGGAGCAAATGAGGACTCTGACTGAGCATGGCCTCAGTTTCCTAATTCTGAGGATCTCTGACTGAGCATGGCCTCGGTTTCCTAACCCTGAGGGGCTCTGACTGAGCATGGCCTCTGTTTCCTAATCCTGAGGGAGGGACTAATACGCCTCCACAGTGTGTGTCAGGGTTAAATACTATGACAGATGTATCACCTTGGCTCACAGCTAGCATTCAAAAGACGCAGCTCCTGTCACTAAGAAACCTTCAGTTTCTTAGGAGTGTTTTTAACCTTCCTGCTGGTGGAATGCTTGTGGCTTACAAATCGCTTGCATGCTTATTTTCTCATTTTCTCCCGACACAATTGTGTGTGCCTATGTGTGTGGGGGTACATGTGTGTGTATGCCTACATGTACATGTGTGTGTATGTGTGTGCGTGTGTGTAGCTGGAGAGCTACATCAAATCTCTTCCTCAATTGCATTCTACCTTGTTTTTAATTTTTTTCTGTTGTTATGCTTACTGGCCTTGCACCTTCATGTGTATCTGTACAGCACATGTGTACAGAAACCAGAAGAGGATGTGGCTTCCCCAGCTGTGAGCTGTCATGTGGTGCTAGGAATTTGGTATCCTCTGGAAGAGCAGACAGTGCTCTTAACCACTGAGTCATCTCTCCAGTCCATTTACCCTATTTTTTATGGTTGATTTTCTTTTTTCTTTATGTGTATATATATCTGTATGGGCATATGCTATCGCCAAAAGAAGATGTCAGGGTCAGGTCCCCTCCAGCTAAAGTTACAAGGGTTTGAGCAATTCATATGGATGTTGGGAACTGAACTCCAATCCTCTAGAAGAGGAGCATGGGTTCTTAAAAACTGAGCCCCTCCAATTTAATGTTTAACATTACTTTTAAATATTTAAAATAAGTATTTGAAAATTTCATTTATTTTTATTTTTATCATATTCATCTCTCTTGCCCAAACTCTTCCCACGTCCACCCTTATCTCACTACCAACCCAACATGTTCTTGTTTATTTTATTTTTTGTTTATTTATTTTACATCCTGACTGCAATTTCCCCTCCTTCCCCTCCTCCCAATCCCCCCCCACACATACACAACCTCTCCTACGCCTGCCTCCAATCCCTTCCTCTTCCATTTCTATTCAGAAAAAGGCAGGATATCAACAAAGTACAGCATATCAAGTTGCAGTAACACCAATCAACTCATTTATTTTCTTAAGATCATCAAATTCAATTTGAACTTCCCAAATTCTGTTGGTTACTGTGGAAAAACAGGCAAAAAGATTTTTAAGAGCCAGAGGCAGTAAATGACCATAACAAAATAGTGCTTTCTAGACACAACAGGGCAATTCCAAATATGGACTCACAGCTGTGTGACAATGTGTGTAAGACTGGCAAAAGATCAAAACCGCACCTTATTTTTTTTGAGAAAAGATCTCTCACTGAACTTGGAGCTACCTGGTTTGGCTAGACTTGCAGGCTAGCAAGCCCCAGAGGTCTGCCTGCTTCTGCCTCCATGCCGTTGGGATTGCTGGCGTGCACCTCACACCCAGCCTTTTGCCTGAGTGCCGGAGATCTGAGCCCAGCTCCTCACACTCACAGGGCAAGCACTCTAGCCACTGAGAGAATGACCATGGGCTTCGGTCCTACCCCGAACAGAAATGAAAGATGACAAAATTCTTCCCTCAAAATGTCAAGAGGGTTCAGGGGTGCACTGGTCACCTATTGCCATGTAACAAACTACCCCAAACTCACTGGGTTTAACATGACAAAATTCACTATTTCCTGGTTTATAGAAGTCACAAGGTTGGGAGAAAACATTAGCTGAGTAGAATTCACTCAAGTCCTCTCTTGAGGTCACAGTAAAGATGTTGCCAGGGCTACAGGCATCTAAAGGCTAGCCCAGGCCAAGAAGATTCTCCAAGTGACACACTCACAAGGGTGTGGACAGGAAGTCGCAGTTCCTCAACACATGACTGCTGAGGTGATGTCACAACAGGGCAGCTGCTTTATCCAGAGCCAGGAGAAACCCACACTTTATATAACCCAGTCTTGTAAGTCGCATTCCATCCCTTCTGCTTTATTCCCGCGTGTTAAAAGTGAGTTCAGGGCTGGAGAGATGACTCAGTGGTTAAGAACACTCACTGCTCTGAAGGAGGACAAGAGTTCGAGTCCCAGCTCCCATATCAGACGTCTCACAACTACCTGTAACTCCAGCTCCAGGGATGTCCAACACCTCTGGCCTCCAGGGGCACCTTCATTCACTTGTACAAACCTGCAAACAAGCCATATACATACGCATAATTAAAACTAAAACTTAAAAAAATAGCAAATCTCAAAGTCCAGCCTGAATGCAAAGGAGAACTAACCTTAAGTGGTTTAAGTGGAGACATATTTTAAGCCTCCACTAAAGGATTAAGCACAGTCAAGGGGGCAGATTGAGCTGGGCACAGAGCCAAGAAAGTACCTGCAGGCAAGGACCAACTCACTGGGGGCCCTCCCAACACACAGGAGGTCTTATTATACAAGGCAGGGTCCCTGACTCCTGCCCCCATCACGGAACAACTCAGGTACCCTAATCTGGGGACTAGGGCCAAATAGCAGATAAAATGGAAGGAAGAGTTTACTAAGGGGGAGGTGGACTTGGATCAACTTGAACATGCAGAATAGAAGAGCTAGGCACTACATACTCTAGCCCAGGGCTACCCCACCTGCCACCGAGGACTTGGGGAAGGCAGGGGCTCCGTGTCTACCCAGCATGGGTTGCAGGAGCTTGTCAATAGTGGGGGTCTGAAAAAGTGACTACCTGCTATGCTTTGAATGTTTGTTTCCTAGGCCTCTGGCCTGAGGAGGGATGACTGTTGTAACAGGATTGATGGGGTGGGGTGACTTAAGAAGTAATTAAGGAGCTAAGAATATTGCTGTGTTGGTACACTGCTTGCCTAGCATATAGGAAGCTCTAGGTTCAATTACCAACATCACAGAAAACAGGACTGAATGTATGGTGCTGGAGAGATGGTTCAGTGTTTAAGAGCACTGGCTGTGTTTAAGAGCACTGGCTACTCTTGTAGCGGATCCAGGTTCAACTCCCAGCACCCACATTGGCAGCTCACAGCTGTTTGTGACCCCAGACCCAGAGGATCAGATGCTGTCTTCTGACTTCAGGTGGCACCAAGCACACATGCAGTGCACAGACATACATGCAGGCAGAAGACTCTACACTCAAAACAATAAAATAAACACTTTTCAAAAAGTGGAGCAGGATGGCACGTGCCTGCATTCTCAGCACTATAGAGGGAGAAGGAAGTAGGAGGAGCAGAAATTCAAGATCATTCTTTGCTGCTGGCCTAGGACAATTGGATTCAAAGTATACACCTGACCCAGCAGGAGAGAACCAATCAGGTACTCTCTCTTAGGGGTTTGCCACTCTGGGACCCAGATTCCAAAGAATCAGTGTGGGTCCAGGGCCAGGCAGTCAGGGCGGCTGAGGCTGTGGCCCAGGCTGAGGCAGAGGCAGAGGCTGGGGCTGGGGCTGGGCAGTCAGGGTGGCTGGGGCAGGCTGGAGATGCTATTTTAGGAGCATGTGTTGATGAGCTAGCAAAAGAAGATGATCTGCAAAGCAAGGCAGGAAAAAGGAGCCAGGGAGCAGGGGAGGAGACCCGCATGACCTCAGAGGAGCAGAGCCCACAGGGGAATGCCTTCCTAGTCCTGCCTCACCTGGAAGGCCTTCTTCAGTCTTCTAATGGAGCTCTCTTCTTATCCTTAGGCAGGATTGACAGGTCATGTCCTGGGCAGCCAAACACTACCTCCCTAAGACCTGGAGGAAATATGAGAGAGGGAGACAGCATGGTCTTTTTGCAACCCCGACCAGGATGTGTTATATTGATGCCCAATCCCTTTGTGTCCGGGACATCCAGAGAAATGATGAGGCAGTACTTAGCTAACCTGCATCTCTCTGATCATACTTATTCTCCCAGGGCTGAGGTTGTCAGCATGGGAAGGAAGAGTTGTGACCTCAAGCAGGGGGGTGGAGGTTGGGAGGGAAGCCCTCTGGCCCGTGGTGGCCTGTGCAGTGGCCTGTGTCCTGAAGCCCAGGGGAGGACAGAGGGAGCTGTATCTTTGCGAGCCTACACAGCAACCATGTGAGTGTGCAGAGCAGTCCCTGGATTATTCATCCCTTCACTCAGCATCATATGAGCTTTTTCCGTACCCCCAGTCCTCTGAAAACCAACTCAGGCTGGTCCTCAGGAGTTCACAGGGATGCCCAAGGGCACGGAGCATCTCAAGCCTTCCTAAGGTTAAGGAATAGGGATGCCAGGACAGGGAGGGCTGTGGGGCACTCCCAGAGCTGCTTCTGCCCCTCTAAAAGACAGGAAAGAAGGGATTCTAGTAGCCAACAGGGGACAGATACACCAGACTGGAGGAACAGCAAGATTTACCGTTTAACAGTGTAACGTTTAACAGTGTAACGTTTAACAGTGTAACAGGATGTTGTCATCTACAGTTCACAGTTAAGTACAGTTGAGTCACCAAAAAATATTGCAGAAAAATCACATACTTCAAAACACTTAACATCAGCCTCTCGCACATACAAATACATACACGCACATACACACAGGAGAGGTGGGGGCTGGTAAGTAGAACTATTGGCTGATAGCTGGGGAGTGGACTTTTTAGTTTGTCAATGTTTTGTGGTTTCTCACATTCCATGGTTTCCCAGTTTGCCTGGGCCATCTTGTAAGACTGCCTTGCCCCCCTTCTAATGAGCTCATCCTTAATCAATGTGGGCTGAGTCCTGGGTGCCAGCCCTGTGGAAGGGGTATGGGGTGATGCCCTGTGTGAGCCTTGATATAGCACTTTGGGCTCCTTGGTGGGGTCCTGAAGGCACTCAAGAAGGACATCCTTGTGTCTGCCTTGCCCAGTGAGGCTAGCCACTGCAGGTAAAGGCACTTGCTGCCAAACCTGATGACCTGAGCTCAATCTCCATGACTGCATGGTGGAAGAAGAGAATTGATTCATATGTCGTCCTCTGACCTCCACACGCACACACATGCACGCACGCACACACACATACACACAATAAATAAGTAAACAAATAAAATGTAAATAAAAATAAGAGCCTTCATATTTAGAAAGGCCTTTGTGCCATCACATCTCCAAATGTGGGGACAGTCCTTCTACTTCTTACCTCATTGTTTGCAAAGAGCATTGACATGATGGGGGGCTTGCCTTCCTCCCAGCTTCCAGGGTCCCCCAACCCACTCTACAGGAAGGTAACAAAGAGCAGAGGGGCTGGGAAAAGGGGAGGCCGAGCCTAGGGCTCTCATCAGATGCCTTTCCAGTATTTTTAGCACCGCAATCAGAAGCCGGGTCCGCCTCTGGATCAACTCAGGCATCCTAGGCTGAGCAGGGCTGTTAAAAATGGAATGAATGGTGCACACTGCAATCAGTGGTGGCAGTCCCGGCAGGGCAGCAGCTGTGGCATTGGAAGCTCTTAGCCCTTGAATCAGGCAGGGGAAGAGGAGCAGTTTCCAGAGTGCACTGGCCTCTGAGCTCGGCTATCGCATGCCCACAGTGTGTCCAGGCCCGAGATCTATGCTCCAACAACACCCGCATCCTGCTGTCTCCTGAAGGCTATTGTGGTGGTCATCTTTGGGCACTTGGCATTAGAAGACAGCAGAGGCTGGCACTGGCACAGCTGGGGCAAGTGGGTGGATCAGGACATGTCTTGCCCACTCTAAGTGGGAACTGCTTCTGGGCTGCTCCATTGTCCCCATTTTCCTATCCTAGAAGGAAAAGTGCTCCACCAAGCACTCCCTGGAGGGCTGGATGAGGAGGCACAAAGTATGGTCCAGGACAAGGGCCAGCTTAACAAGTTGAGACCCAGGAGGGTTAGGGTAGAGCCATTTCTGCCACTTTGTGACAGCTTTGGTGCCTCAGGCAAATCACTTCCCCACGCTGGCCTCCGTGGCTTTCTCTGCAAAATGACAAGGCCAGACTGGAGCACAGACATGACAGGTTCTCTAAGTCAGCAGGAGGCTGAGTTTAGATTGATGGATGCTTGGTGGCGGGGGAGGGGGGTAATCCCAGATCAGAACCCTGCCAGCAGGGTGGGGGTAGAGCAAAGGGAACTGCTCTTGATGGCCATTCCCAAAGGAGGAGGCCATGAGCAGGGGATGGTTTGTCAACCAGGAGGTAAAAAGGCTTGGTGGGGTGAGGTGAGGACAAGAAGCCAGATAAGGAGATGGGCCTGTGGAGTCATCTAAGCAGAAGGGACCCAGAAGGTCCAGCTGACCCATATTTTCATTTCAGAAATGTTGGGACAAAAGGTGTCTGGATAGTATGTACTAGATGACCCAGCCAGACACAAAGACAGTGACTAGGCCTGCACCCTTGACTCTGCTCTGCATTCTAGGTCATTCTACTGCCTGTTCTAGTTACTCAGCTGGGTCCTCCATCTCACAGACAGACTGTCAGGCTATGGCCACCCACCATGCTGGCTGAAAGAGGCGGTGGCTAGCAGCATGTATAGAATTCATGTATGAGCATACATCTGTATCAGCCTGCCTCAGCACAGGGCTCAGCCTCCTGGCAAGATGCCTTAAGAATCCTGCTTTGTTGTCTGTCCCAGAACTTTCTGTGCTCCCAGCAGGATTGCTCCAGGTCTGGCCAGATGAGCTAAACATTACATGAGGAGTCTCCTTAAAGGGTCATCCTCTTGCTCAGCCTCCCTCACTTGCTGCCCCCATGCCAACCCAGTAACTTCCTAACTGCATTGTCTCAGATGAGGGTGCCTGGTTGGCCCTGCAGATGGTCAGCAGCTGGTAGAGTCCTTGCCAAGCACATGAAGTCCCTGCTGCCTTCTCTGTCAGGGAGGAGCACCCAGCTCACATTGACTGGCTGCCCTGCTGGCACCACATTCCTCCACCTAGAAGACTGGGGAGGAGCCACGTTGGCACCCACACCCACACGTACAAGGCAGGCATATGGCAGAGGTATGCACGTCACAGCGGGTGGGTAGGTGATACAGCTAGAGTTTCCTCAGCACCTTGGAAAGTGGTTTGCACACTGCTGTCTGACAGTGGTGAGCCTCACAACTTGCCACATGCAGGGAGCCATACCCAGTGCTGTGGAGGGCTGGGCTAAGTTGACCAAGGAGGCAGCACCCTGTGGCTGCTGCTCAGCTTGGGAGACCTGGCCAAGCTCAACTCCCATAGACAACAGCATAACTCAGCTCTCCCGTGCCAGAACTGGTGTGTTAGAGCTGGCTTGGCAATGGCTCACTTTGACCTTGGGAGGCTCTTTGCTAAAAGACTCAAAGCTCCCCAAAAAGATGCTAGCTGAGGAAGACCTAGAGAGCCAGGTTGGGATGTCAAGAGTGGGAAGGAAAGTATGTAAAAAAGTGTTTCCTGTTCAGAAACAAGGCAACTCTCTATGGCAAGAACCCTACACCCCACACCAGGGAAGTACCTCAAAGCAAAAGGGAGGACAGAGAAGTTCCTGGGAGGGCAGATGACAAGGGATGGCAGAGCAACAGAGACCAGCAGGAAAAAGGGGTACAAAGTTGAAGAGAACCGGTTCCCATCCTCCCTACAGCAATGTTTAGCTCACCTGTCTCACTACTGCCTTCTCTGAATGTGCCCCCAGATTCCTACCAAAACCAAATCCCTAGTGCGCTGGGATTTGGGAGGTGACTCAGTAATGAGAGTGGTGCCTTCATGAACAGGACTGAATCAATGCCTTTGTGAAAACCACACCAGGACTGATAGGATGGCTCAGTGGGTAAACTTGGTGACCCAAGTTCAACCCCCAGAACCCATGCAAAGGTAGGAGAGAACCAAATCCATAAAGTTGTTCCCTAACATACACACACACACACCAGCAGCAGCAGCACTATTAATAATACTAATTTTAAATTTAAAAAATCATAGAGCTGCCTAGAGATGTCATACTAACTGGTACCTTGCACTTGGACTTAGCAGCCTCAAGATTGCAAGAAATAAACGTTTGTTGTTGATGAGTAGCTTAGCCTCTCATATTTTATTATCCCAGCCTGAATAGACTTAAGGTGTTGTTCCATCCTCAGAAGGAAAGCACTACCTCCCTTCCCAGATCACATGACTGAAACTCAGAGAAATTGAGGAACTTATGATGGGGATGTCCTTCTGTATGCTGTGAATATATTTTTCTCTTATTGGCTCATGAATAAAGTTCTTTTGGCCAATGAACAGGCTTCTTATTGACTAGCTCTCTCTCTTAATTATTAACCTATTTCTTTTAGTCTGAGTATCTCCACATAGTCTTGGCTTACCAGTGATGCCTGAGTTTCTTGCTTTCTCCACAACTACTTGGAGTCTCCCTTGAGTCATTTCACAGACCTGAGTGGGATAGGGGAGGCCTGTGGCTCAGTAGCATGAGCATAAGTAGTCTCCCAGTTACTGGGGCTACTGCAACTGGCAGAAGCAGTGGTGAGTGGCTACTTGCTGCTCAGGGAGCCTCACTGTAATGCTAGGGGCCACAGACTTCCAGATAGCAAGACAGAAGTGTATATTTACAGTGAACCTAGAGGTAAGGTCCAGCATTTGGGACAGGACAAGGTAGTCAAACAGGTAGGTCATGTGGGCACCCATCATGTAGACTTATAAGGGACAGAGACACGAATGACAGGCCCATGAGCACTGGAACGCCTTCTAGTCAAGGCAAAGGAAAGCTGCAAACCCTTAAGGTCAAAAACAAAATGCAAAAGCTGATCCACCTCCTTGCCAGGCCATCTCGGTGTCAAGAGACCATGGCCAGCCCAAGGGAGTCCACACTGCA